CCCCAAAACCCCAAAACCCCAAAACCCCAAAACCCCGTGTGCAACGTAACAGGTTGTATATCCAATTTTTATCATAAATAAAATAAATATCTATAATGGAAGAAAAGAAGAACAACATGGTCTACAGATACCTTGGAAACAGTGGTCTCAAGGTATCTCTCCTCTCCTTCGGAACTATGCTCACCGAGCACACTGAAGAGACTGAGAAGGCTTGGCTTGAATGTGCTAAACTCGGCTTTGAGAGCGGAATTAACTACTTTGATTCAGCTGAATTGTATGGAGGAGGAAAAGGAGATGAACTCCTCGGAAGAGCCATCAAAGAAAATGAATGGAGAAGAGAAGATCTTGTCATTGCTGTCAAAGTTTTCTTCGGAAATAAAGTAAACAGAGTCGGTCTATCTAGAAAGAAAATTATCGAAGCTACTAAAGCTTCTTTAAAAAGAATGGATCTGGACTACTGTGACATTGTCTATGCCCACAGAGACGACCATGAGACCCCACTTGAAGAGACTTGCAGAGCCTTCAACTGGTTAATCAAGAAAGGATACGCTTTCTACTGGGGAACTTCAGCATGGTCTGCAGATATGATCACTGAAGCCATCAAGATATGTGACCAACATGGATGGCACAGACCTGTTGTTGATCAAGCTGAGTACAACTGCTTAGTCAGAGAACACCTCGAGAAGAGCAATGTCAGACTCTTCGAGAACTACAGATATGGAATCTCAGCTTGGTCTCCACTTGGAGGAGGATTCCTGACTGGTAAATATAATGAAGGAACTATCCCAGATGATTCCAGATATGGAAAGAATGAGATGTTCAAAGGCTTTGCTTGGGACAAATACATTGGAGAACATATCAAGGAAAAAACACTAAAGATTCTGAAAGGCTTGAAAGAACTTGCAGATGAACTTGGTGTTACTCAGGCTCAACTTGCTCTGGCTTGGGTACTTGTGAACCAAGACGTCAGCACCTGCATCATTGGAGCTTCTAAAGTCAGCCAGCTTGAGTCCAACCTTGGAGCACTAGACTTGATCGCTAAATGGGACAAAGATCTTGAAGCCAAAGTTGAAGCTATCCTTGACAACACACCACAGAGAGACTTCAACTTCAAGCATTGGGGAGTGCTCCCAGCCAGAAGGGAGAAGGTCATCAAATACAACACAAAGCTTGGACAAATTGAGTACAAGGATGACTACGATACATATTTCTGCTAATTTCCTCTCTAACTCTATTGCTAATACTCTAAATCCTATCTCTCAACCTTATGTGACAATCTCGGGGTTTTGGGGTTTTGGGGTTTTGGGGTTTTGGGGTTTTGGGGTTTTGGGG